AATCTGAGGAACCATGAATTGGCCTTCTGTTTAAAAAGTTTGATGATCCCTATCCTAGAGTCTAGTACGAAATATATGATGTACCAAAAATAGATGATTCTAGTGTAATAGTAGTAAAGAAAGCAAAACTAAATATTGGAGAAATTAAGAAATTAGTTAGGATAAAAATGAAGCAAAAGAACAATTTATCAAATGTTGTGAGGCCAAAAATTTATGTCTTGCACATGCATTATTCAGATGACTGTATGTGGCCATCTGAATGTCATCAGATGGCCACTACATAAATTAAACTGCCTAATTAGGTGTAAATGAAAAAGTTTCATTCTCTCTGCAAAAACAAGGCTAAAGCAGATTAGATTCCCCCCCCCCCCATTTTTATTATTATTGCTGTAAAAACAAGTAGAGTGATACAAATCTCAAAAATAATTCCGCAAGGTTAAATAGAACAAACAAATAATGATATTCCACTTACATTTTCTCTAGAGCAGATTATGCACAAAACCAAACATCTAAAAATTAGACCATAGCTAAAATTTACTAAATCACTTTGCCAAAATGTAACCTGAAGAATCTACCTGGAGAATATAAAGTTAAGAATAGATTTGTGCTATTAAGCCAAACAGACTAGAGAAAAGAAGAACCTTGGACCATAATCAGGGACCCTGTTAGGGTCCAAAGAAAAGCAATAGAGCTGGTTCAAATGGTGCAGATGGAATCCATACAAATTGCAACAAAACTCTGGCAACAAACATGGAAAACAAAACACTGTCTTACAGAATGGAAATGAGCAACACATATCCAATTCCCAAGAAAGGGAACACCAGTGAGTGAATCAATCATCATAGCATTATTCTTCCATGCAAGTAAAGTAATACTCAGAATTTTACAGCAAAGATTTTTACCATACATAGAGAAATGCCAGATATTCAAGTAGGATTCAGAAAAGCAAGAGGAACCAGGAATTACTGTATGTACTCAAATATAACCCTAGTTTTTCAGCCCCCTTTTAGGCTGAAAAAGCTCTCCTTGGCTTATACTCACGTGAAGGTTATTTATTATTTTACCCTGTTATTAGTATTATTTTATTACATTTATTATTTTACTCTAATTTATTATTATTATTACATTTACATTATTTTACTCTATTTTTATTTTTATTACATTCATTATTTTACTCTATTATTACATTTATTATTTTAATCCATTTTTATTATCACATTTATTATTTTACTCTCTTAATTATGATTGGAAGGATGCGTAAGCAGATTTACATTGAAGGTTAGAATAATGGTTTGATCCGAGTTGGACAGTCTTACCTTAAATTACAGTTTTATGTAAATATTCATAAACATTTATTTATTTATTTATTTATTTATTTATTTATTTATTTGGGATGCTTCTACCCCGCCCTTCTCAACCCCCTAGGGGGGACATTTAACCTACTGATGCCTCAGTTCATGTAATTTTGTTGATATCTATTTTTATTTTGAAATTTACTGGTAGCTGCTGCATTTCCCGCTCTCGATTCAAACTCGAGTCAATATGTTTTCCTTTTTTTATTTTGGGGTAAAATTAAATGCTCTGGCTTATACTCGGGTATATACGGTATATTGGAAACATATGTCAGGTAACAAAGAACACCATCTTAATCTAGTGCTTAATGATTCCTTAGCAGGTTCTCTGAGCTGCAAATTATCAAATAACATGTTCCAGAAAGTCCTAGATGGGATTTGGAATCCTGGGAAAGATGTTATACTGTTTGGCCTACATCAAGCCACATGTATAACTTAAATATTTGATTCACAGGATATTAACAATTCAGAAGAAATCTAAATATGTTTTGCCATGAGAAAGAAAAGTGAAAACCTGGTTATTTGAACAGGCGTTTGAATAGGCAGTGCAATGAATTTTAGGAAATGGAACTACTATTGACAAGTTTGGATCATGATTCTAGTTATGAGACGCCAATGAATGAATGTTTATAGTTGTTTAATTGCTTAGTCTGCTATTGTGTTGATTGTTTTTAAATACCTTGTTATGCTGCATTGAATTTTTGCTATTTTGTTGTTAACCGCTATGAGTCGCCTAAGGGCTGAGAACAGCGGTATACAAGTGAAGTAAATAAATAAATAAATAAATAAAGATCTTTAAATTAACTTAAATGTCTATTGGTGTTCCCATAGGTTGACATTCCCTTCTTCCCTTCTTCTATCTCTAAGCTATTCTGGGACTGGTGGAAAAGTAGGAGGAATGGCAGAAACATCTGGCTGTCCCTATAGCCAGATGCAGAATGATTATATCATTCACTGAGACCTCCAAAGGAAATATTGACATTGAGATTGAAAGGCACTCTGTCTTTAGAGGACTGTGATGGGATTGAAATGTTGTGCTGTTGTCTATACAACATTGTAGAGAACTCTTCTTCACTATTTGTGTATTTCTTCTCTATCACCCATCTGGCTTGTTGGGAACTGATAAACGAAATTTGATCATGTTTTACATTCAATTGCAATCTATAATGGAGGCCAGCAAAGGTTTCAGTCACAAGATGAAAAGGAATGAAAATTCCCTACAGTGAAATCCATAAAAGAAACTGTTTTAAAATTAGAGGAGAAATTAGTACAATACAGTACCTATTTGCTCTAAGCATGCTTGTACTGGAGGTCTGCAATCAAGGTTTATGAGGATTTTTAAAAATTTAAAACAGTTGTTTGTTACTCTGGTTTTGACCTGCGAAGCAGTTCAGAAGAAAAGATGTTTCACCCTCCTCTCACCACATATTTATCTTGATCTAAACTATCTCTTCCTGAAGCTTTGATGATCTCTGCAGGATTGTCCAGGAGGTGCTAATGTCATTCCGCAAAAGAGTCATCAGCAGTCCTGGAGAGTTACTCATGGCCTTTTTAGATCAGGAAAATTGCCTGATGGATATGATGCCCCTCTCCCTCACTTAGCAAAAAGAAAAACCAACTCCATATTTGCCTTAAAATTGAAAAGGGCAAAATCTAATTACATATTCCTCCTATTGCATCTGGTTTTGTATGCCCAATATCCATCATCTATACTGGCAATAATCTTGTGAATTTGTTCAAAGCCTTTATACAAAGCATAAACCTTCTAAAAAGAATGATTTTGTGAAATCTAACAAGAATCATGGATTTAAACTAACCATGCACACATTTCATACACACATATGTAACACGATAACAAAGTGTCAAAGAATATAAGGTCAATACAATACAAGATAAGATATATTAATTGATATATGAGTAGAGCAGCAGTGGCTAATGGACACTAGGGCTGATAGGATAGAGGAGTCATCACTGACAAAGCAAAGAACCAATGGTATCTCATTTTCTATGTCCTCATAAGCTGTAAATATCATTTGTACCACTCTGGAGATAGGAAAGACAGTTGAGGGAATAAATGGACAATGCTCAATTTGCCTAAATAGAAGGATGATCCAGGGCAGTGCTGGGGACCACTAGGATGAATGAGAGATCATTGTGATACACTTCTCAGTCCTCCCCTTCCACTTAGAGCAAATTAGTCATTTTAATTAGTATATTCAATTTGTATTGAAACCGGGAAGGTTGGGAAGGTGAGATATGCACCTACGCTACTTTCACCCAAATGACTGTATGCATGTATGCTTGAGCAACAATCATGTATGGGACAGGTGAATAAAATAGGCTTGAGTTCAATTAAATCTTTCTTGCACAGGATCTGATCTTAATGAACCAAACATCTCATTGTGAACACACACACACAAAGAAAATATGTTTTTGAAAACAATATGCAGATTTGAGGTGTGTATATATTATATAGGGGGGGGGGGAGAGAGAGAGAGAGAGAGAGACAGGATGGGAAGAAAAGGAGATATGTGATCGGGTGTGTTGTATCTGCAATAGTGGGAATAATAATAAAACATTAACCACTTCTTATCCCTGGGGGGAGCTCTACTCATATATTTCTGCAGAGTTTTCCAACTTCTCTGTCTCATCCTCCAAGCTATACAACTTACAACTTTGAAGTCAGTTTTCCAATTCAGTTTTATTTGCCTTATTTATACCCCACCTTTCTCTACCCCGGGGGGACTCAATCCACAAGTTAGTTTTCTCTAACTCTATTCTCACAAGCCAAAGGAGACAGCCTCTAACTTCTACTTAGGCCACTGCACATGTGTTGAGATGGCAGTTTCTCCCATAGTAATACTAAATCTGAATTTCCAAGGAATGTGTCTAAGAGAATAAATTAATATACAGGGTTTTTTTTCTCCCACTAACAGTTTACTCATTGGGGTTATGGCATCTGTAAGTGTGATTCTTCTAGACATTGTATTGTTTGGATCTGGCAGAAAAGTATTACTCAGATAAAAATTTTACTAGAAAAATAACACCCAAGACATCAAGAACTTTTCCCTTCATTCACTTATCTTTCAGCTCCTTTTTCTTCACAGTTTACATGGTTTTCCTTGAGAATTGGAAAAACTGTATTTTTTCGTTCACATAAGACCATAAATGATATGGGTCCACAGGCATGTAGCCGGGGGGGGGGGGGCTTGAGGGGCTTCAGCCCCCCCCCGAAATTCTCATGGTGGTTCGCGAAAAGGCCTTACTGGTGCATTATTTAAACTGTTATGTTTATTCATATCATGATCTGATCACCATACTCAATATATCCCATATGCATGGGGGTATTGGGGTAACGATACAAAAGGTTTGCTAGGGTAGACCCTCTTTCACTCAGTCTCAGCCCCCCCCCCCGAAAACTCAGCCCCCCCCCCCCAATCGAAATCCTGGCTACGGGCCTGGGATCAAGGAATCAAGATTTCTCATTGACATTATCATTTCCCCAAGCATCTTTCAAATCCCTTGAGCTGGCTTTTGGGCAACTCTCAGGATTGCTAAGGAGAAGGGACCAAACAGTGCAAGTGTAACAATAGATGCTACCTGAAAAGACCTAAAGAACTCACCAGACACCTCAATAATATTGCTTACCTTATGATGACAAACATCACTAGAGAGTTGCCAACCAAGCCCACCACAAAGACCACAGAGTAGACTGCAGTGATGATGATGGGAATAGCTGGGGAGATGTTGGTGTGGTTCTGCTGTAGGTCTTCATACATGTCACTACCATTGTTGCCATAGTCTGCCAAATCCAAAAGCCTACTTTTGCTGCTTGGAGTTGGAAGTGAGCATGGTCCAGGGGAGCAAGTAGAGCTTTGTTCCTCTCGGAAAATGTGCACTGGGGGATCCATGGAGAATTCCACTTCAAACTCAAGAAGGGAAGAGACAGGAACAGCCAATAACACTGGAAAGAGAAGGAGATGATAATGAAAGTGCTATTCATACAGAAGTCCCTAAACAGAAGTTCCTTCAGTTATAATTCCTGAAGTCCTAAACACCTTTAAAAACACTACAAGTGAAGAGAAATAGAAGTGAAATAAGATAACACACAGTGCTCAGAAACAATTTTTTAAACCACCATGAATTCAGAAACATGACTCTCTAACAAAAAAAGGAAGGCTAATTCACATTTCTGTTTTGTCAAAGATTTGTTTTAATTTTATTTCTCACCTTGTAGGACTCGTTGAGGAAAAGCCTTACACTCTTGATAATAGGTTAATGAAGACAGGTTTGAAACTCCTTTGGACTTTTAAAATACTGTGCTGGAGCATCAAAATGTTAATGAGTTGCCCAGATAAGTTTCGTTCATTTTCCATCAAGCAACATGTTTTAAAGATCAAAATACAGTTCTTTCTGATCTCTTCTCTTTCATCTCATCATTTACCTGTTCAAACAATATAAGGGATCTTTCCCAACTCAGTAATATAAGAAGAGGACACAAGCTACAGTTGTGTTTTAAATGTAGGTGGAATACAAATATTACTTTTCAATAATAGGTCAGCAATAAAGATTTTAAACCACAAGAGTAAAGAAAAATTAAGAAACAAAAGAGTAGCAACATTACCTGTTTAAACTGAAAGAGGGAAAAAGTATGGTCTCCCTGAGAAAAATCCTCATATGCTGAGCAGCACCCTCTCCCTTTCTGTCTCTGATTCACTTTTGTAACTTAGAATCTGAAGGATTTGTTTGCACTCCTGGGAATGAAGAACAGCTGTATCTCCGAAGGATTAGCTCTGGACCAACAGCAGCAGCAGCAACAGTCCCTTGTAGCCTCCACTTTACCTTTGCAGCAAGCAGTCTCCCTCACACACTCTGTCTTCAACTCTCACTCTGCCAGCTTTGTCGGTCCGTTGATACTCCAGCAGCCCCTGCACACATTCTCTTCTCAGCTCACATGACTTTTTCTCTAGATACCAAAAGGCAGGCAAAGTATGAGGCAAGAGGGAGACAGCTTGTTCTGTGCACCTGAAAGATTTGTGCCACCCTCTACATTGCTTTCACATCCATATCTTAATCCTTCCCCAGCTTTTAAGGGTTTTTTTTAGCAATTAGATCCCTTCAACCTATTACTGCTGTGCTGGTTCCCACAGCATTAGTTATATGAGGTGACAAAGAGAAATTTCAGATCCAGCATATTCACCTGGCCACATGATATGTTCTGAAAGAATTGTTCTCTTAGGTGCAGACACTATGTTCTGTTCAGTCTGTATTAAGGAAATAAAAGTGTCCTCCTTAAAATGCAGCAGAATGAATGAGGCAGATTCACACTAATGCCCCTATAACTGAAGTTATAATACTAAAATGTGACAAAAACATTGTGATATGTAATGGATCCCTAAATCCATTGCATATCATAATGCTTTTGTCACATTTTAGTATTATAACTTCAGTATGTTTGTGAAAAGAACAAAACATCTTGTCACTCTTTGCCTAGTTTTACCTCTCTATTAAACTTTCCAAGTAGTCTATGATGCTTGGAAGTATATTACCATAAACTGACAGTTATCAGACTTTTTTGTAATGTTTGCCCAGACAAGACAAAGGTAAAATTGTTTGAACCTATCGAGTCTCATTATTTGAACCTACAGGTTGTGTTGCTGCCTGGAGGAAGAGGAGGAGGAATTGGAGTAGCAATAAAATCTTGTCATGGGTCTCTGCTAAAAATAAGATCATGGGAAGTTAGCATCGGCAAAAAGATTAGCAAGAGACAAGATGAAGTGGTTGGAGATGAAGTGGTTGGAGGGTTCAAATTCCCGACTAGCCACGAAACCCCATTATATGGCCTTAGAAAACTCATGTTCTCTCAGGCCCCTTCTACACTACCCTTTATATCATAGGATCTGATGCCAGATGTGATGAATTGCCTACCTTTGAGGCCAGGGGAAAGCTTAGAAAGTAGGTCCAGGATTTCGGGAGCCATTTTATGAGAATGGTGCAAGGAGGCAGGCATCTTAGATAACCCATTTCCTAGAGGGGACAGAGCTTAGGAGCAGCCTGGAGGGAAATGTGGAGAGCCTTTGTGATTGGCTAGGAGAAAGTGGGCGGAGCTTAGCCAGAGTGGAGAAAAAAATGCCTGTAAGGGTGCGTTTTCAAATCTGACAGCTCAGTTAGCGTCTGGTGTTTGAAGAGTTGAGTCAGGGTTTGTCTGGAGTTTTTAGGAATTATAGTCAGAGGGAAGTCTGATAGTTTCTGAGGGAGTGAAGAGTTGTTTTTGGAACTAAGCATTGAACTGTTTTTTAAAGTAACCATAGGCATCTACTCATTATCGCAACCGTTAAGCTTAAGTGCCTGTATTGTTGAAGTTCTCACAAATAAACAACTTTGTTCTTTGTTAAACAACAACTGACTCAAGAGTGCCTCTATGTGAAATAGTTCCATAGCAGTAAGGGAAACAGAATTTTAAGATTGGTGGCAGCGTTTACTTAAAAGAAACCCAGTGTTATTTTACCTCAAAGTTCAGAGCTCTGAGTGTGAATCCAGCACAATACAGCTTACTTAAAATCTCTTGCCAAAACAGAAACTATAAATTACTTTTAGGTGTGGTGGTAGCTAGTGATCACAGAACATTAACTAAGAAAATAATGTGTTTGTGGCAAAATCTCAACAGCCTCCAAACACTTAGTTGAATTTTTATACTAATCCTTAACAATTGGTGATACAGTAGTGGGATGAATAAAGGCCTCCTGCCAGAAAGCCATTTGAGTTTGGAGTCTAAGTTAATTAATCAATCTTTATTTGATTAAACGATGTGGTTGTCTGTTACATTTTTGGTGGTACAGCATTGGAATTGTTATAATAAAATTCCCCATTCGTTTCACACCAGATTTTTTGTTCTTCCCAGATTATATGACAGTGGAGACACATATAATCTATTTCAAAGCAGATAACCTGGGATCAGATCCTGGGATACAGGACAGTGTAGAAGGGGTCTCAGATGGACCTTAATGACACATTCGCTCTGAATTCTTGCCAAACTTTTGGATTTTGATTTGGAGTAAACTGTAAGGTTAACAACAGCTAAAATGCCAGCCCTACTTTTATGCATTATGAGGTGGCACCTCAACTTCCTGATGTTGAGAAATTGTGGCAAATTTCTTTTCTGCTGTATTCTCAAGAAGTTCCTTTTCCTAGGACTGCTAAAGCAAACCATTTGAAAGACAATGAGCCACATCTTTGAGAAAACCCTCTGGGAGAAGTCCAATCCTGAAATACATAATTGTTCAGTAACTCTCCATTTAGTATATCAACTATGCCAAGGGCACAGACTGAACCAGAGAGAAGAGAAAGGACTGCACAAAGTGCAGAAAATTTAATTATGCAAACATGCCCCAAAGGCAAGTTTAAACCTAATGGGCCTATAGAACGAGGAAATTTGCAGTGTAGACACATCATCCATATTAGCTTACATGACAGATTCCTTAATCTTGTTCTTAATACTTTACATTGTGTAGCTTCTAAAACAGCTGTTAATTTATGAGTCAGTATAATTGAGCATTATATCTTCACATTTTGGTCTAACTATACATGGTATTCCTACTAATTTTTATAGTACAATGCTGCTTGGATACAATGTTGGCCTTATCACATGGGGGAACTCACCCCCCCCCCAGCACTATTTCACCAGCCTCAGTGGTGGAACAGCAGGGATGAGAGGTGACTCTGTCACACAGGGAAATCATCGACGAAGCGGTGTGGATTCATGCTGACTCCCGTGTTGCAAGGGAAGTGCTGTATGATGCTTCCACTCCAGTTTTGGATGGACTTCCAGCAGAAGTCCAAGGACATTGTATGAGGGGCAGCATGCTCATCCATTGTTGGACTGGCAGGGAAGCATCCTAGGATGCTAAAAAAGCCCCATGTGATGAGATCATATGTCACCATTTGTAAGTTGAAAATCCTTGTAGAAAGAGATCTCATGATATACAAGTTGTGCTTAATTGAATGCTATCTCGGCACATACCTTCATGATGGAGTAAGCAGATGTATCTTGTAGTTTAAAATATGATGAGACAAAGTGAAATTTTGGTTAAGAATAGATTTACCTCTATACAGCCTAGACTGGTCCTCCATGATGCTATATTCCAACCAAGTCCTCTAGAAGACAGGTTGGTTTTAGGATTGATTATAGGAAGCTACGTTCACCTGTTTTGCATGGGCAGACTTATGTCAAACAGGACAGGCATACTCAGCAGTTGAGTAAGACAAGGCTAGGGCTGATGTTCTTATTAATTTTGGGTCTGCACCCCATGTGCTCCCAGTAAGTTTTCACAGGATACTATTGTGTGCAGCTATTTTGTGCTTGGTGTTCAAGCAGTGTTTCCTATATGCTAGTGTTCAATCTAAGATATTTAGGATAGAAACAATGTTCAAGCTCTTGACCTTCCCAGGTGACTTTCAATTTCCTGTTGGCTTCATGGCTGCGTAAACTGGATTTCAATTGTTTCAAAGTCTTTTGCTTGTGTTGTTAAGCCAAGATCATCAGCATATATAAAGCTCTTTGTGAGTGGGGTTTGTGGCTGATCGTTAGTAAAGATATTAAACAAGGTCGGTGCAAGAACGCTGCCTTGGGATAAGCCATTGTTTTGCCTCCTCCATCTACTTTTCCTGTCTTCTATGTTCTATGATAAATGAGGGGGACATGGGATGATCAGCTGTGGCATAGTTTCACGTGCTACAACTATTCTATGTTGAGCCTGACTGGATTCTGGACATTTGGTGGATGGATGAATGATGCTCAGAGATTGTAGTAGTAGGTTAACACATTTAGGTGATCACTGATCAGCTAACAAAATCTAATTGGGCCAAGCTCAGAATTACAATACAGCAAAGTAAAATACAACAAATCTAATTGAATTGCATTTACATTAGTAATGGAAATGAATTCCTAGGTTTGTGGTAAATTAACATTTATATTTATTATTATTTATACCTGCATTTAAGGCCTTCCCAGAACAAAACAGGGAATGTCAGTCATGATTATTACAGATTACTTGCTTTCGGGCATAGATCCTTGCAAAAGTTTCAGGATTAAGAGCTTCAAAAATCAGTTTCATAGGACAGATGAGGATCTTCTTTGTGGGCACTTCTTAGAAAATAGGAAGAGAACCTGGATGCAAAGAGGATCACCTCCTTCTACTAACCTTACTACTTTTATGTTTAAAATCATTTAACCTTGGAAATTACTTATGCTGTTCTAAAATAAGTACTGCCTCACACTTATGTAATTCATTATTTAATTCTAAAATTGTGCTAATGTTGAAATTCCAAATTAAGTCAATTTAAAAATAAAGTTTTTTATTAGAAAAACATTCCATCTTAATTAGCTTTAGCTAGTTAGTTCCTAACTAACTAACTAACTAACTAGAGTTAGTTCCTAACTCTAATGAAGCTTGTAGTTCAAGCCACAATTAGTCTTAAAAATTGAAAGGTTTTGCTAGAACTGATGCCCATCAATCAATTTTCTAATTTTTCCAGCCCTCTGTAGCTTGTCTTCAACCTGATGAGTTGGTGTCTCTGTCCTGGCCTTTCTGAGTTAGCATACACTCAACAAGCACAGATCCTCTTTTACAGTCCCAGTTAACAACAACAGTATCTCAAACAGAATCGTAAATTGTTCCCCTTTTTGAAAGACTTAAACATACAATATATGCACTGCAGTCTTTAAACATTGGTGTGAATCCCTTTGCCACAGGTAATGACAAGCAGCTTTTCGGCTACAGTAGGAGGAATGTCTATTTGTCCCAACTTTATCAGATAAAATGTAATAGAAGGACTGCCATATGCCAAGTCGAAATATTTTGTTTTGTATGTAATAGACTCAGTACCCTGGAAACCAATTATTAATAATAATAATAATAATAATACCCCACCACCATCTCCCCAAAGGGGATTCAGGGCGACTAATATGAGGCCAAGCCCAGAATTACAATACAGCAAAGTAAAATACAACG